ATGGAACAGTCTACACAATGTCCCCATTCTATCTATCTTGGGCGCTTCTCTTGAGAATATACAGGAGCGTGCGGTGAGGGAGAAGAAGTGTTATTGGATGGTTGTGAGCCGAAGGTCACCTAGGTGGAGGAAGGTGGGCAGAAGGTAACTCAGTCTTACTGAGGGGTAAGAGAGGCACGTCTATCTGGATTAAGATAGGGGAGACGATAAAATTAAAATGGGGTGGGAGGGCAGGAATAATGTCCCCTGTGAAGCCAATGAGGAAGGGACTCCCTTACTTAGAAGAGAACGGGCAGCCTTGTCTGCAGAAGTCAGCCGGTGCCGTGCCACACTCTACACTGGGCTAACGTGAGTCGCAGAAATTCAGATCTCCCAAACGCCACTCTCACCCCGTCCGTGACCAGCCTCCCTGTGGAACTGTTGGCACAGATGATCTCTGATGAAAGCTGACCTACAGTGTCATAGCTTTGCCCTGCACAGACCTGATCCAAGCAAACACGGCAGGAACACACACTGGTCCCAGGCGCGTGACATCAGGGCCCCCTCTGATTGTCACTGCCCGAAGCCAGCTTTAATACCAAGCACGAATACATCTGAAAAGTGGGCAGAATGGATTCGGGGGGTAGGCCCACAGTTTAAGTAAAAATATTAGCGTGCTCTAAAAGAGAACTTGGACCTAAAAACAACAGTTATGGAAGTTTCTCTTGAACCCAATACACCAAAAGCTCCGCAAGTTGCTTCCCCAATTTCTTTGTGTGGAAAAAAAAAAGGATCAATTATATAGACGAGGTATCTTGGAAAAGACCTTTCCATTGTTGTTTGAAAAGAATGTTAATACAAGGAAACGATTCAAACTACCTTCCCTGCCTGCAGAGGAAGCTTTTTAGAGGCGCTCGTGTTGTGTGTTTTAGATGTATTAATTGATGACTAAATCCTTTGACAAATGAGTGCTGCTCTTTTTTTTCGCTGCTCCTTTAGCAAGAGCAAAAGGCCTTACATGTAATCAGAAACCAGTTCGCTAGCCCAAATATTGCATTGTACGATGTCATGAAAAAACTTCTAGTTGACAAAGCCTAAGGGAGGTAGGCGAAAAGTACGTGTGTGTTAGCATCCCAGCCCCGCTGTGTCTCGCTGTGAAGGCAGGGACTGAGCTGAAGGTCAGGTCACACCCCTTCCCCAAAGGACACCTTCACTGATGGCCGGGGTTCGTTACACGCATCCCATGTCTGTTCACTTTGAAGGCCGACCCCTCATCCTCGGCCTGGCGCGGTCTGGTCTCCGCGGTCTTTTCCTCCACCTGCCCCTCCGCCTCCCCTCCCCAGAGCTAGGAACGCGCGCTGGCCGTCGGGGCTCGTGAGGCTTTCTGATAGAAGGAAACCCTTCCAGGCTTGCGCTCTGACCCGTGCTCTTTTGAATCTTACCAGTCTGACCTCCCACTCTGCCAAAAGAAGTCATAAAATCACTTTCTAATACAAGCTTGGTGCAGTGGAGCCGTGCACCTTGGCGGAGGGGCAAACTCCTTGACGCACGTCTCCTGCCCTTCCCAGAAAGTGGCTCTCCGCGCCAACCACAACTGGGGGAGTCCCACGCCAACCACAACTCGGGGAGTCCCACGCGCTCCCCAAGTAGAACAAATGCCACCAAGACCGCCTGAGGCCGGGCCCCTGCCCCGCCCTGCTCTCTCTCCTTCCCCGGCAGGCCCTCTTCCTCCACCCCAGACAGGCAGCCGCGTGGACACGCACTGCCGTGGCACTGCGGGTGAGGCTGGACTCTGTGGTTGAGTTTTCACCTCCGTGTCGACCTTTCCCCGCGTGGGCTGCATCTCCCCTGGACTAGAAACTGCTCGAAGGGAGGACTAGCTCTCTGTCTCTGAATCCCTTATAGCACTGGCTCCCAGAGGAGCCATTTTTAACCCTTTGTTTTCCAATACTGGGGATTGAACCTAAGGAGTGGCAAGCTACTTCCACAACCCTTATTTTTTATTTTGAGACGTGGTCTGCCTAAGCTGCCCAGGCTGGCCTCCACCTTGCCATCCTCCTGCCTCAGCCTGCCGAGGAGCTGAGATTCCAGGGGTGTGCCACCATGTTTGACGTACTGTTTGTGGGCAGGTTCTATTTAACCAATTTCCAGTGGCCACAATAACCAAGCCTGGGCTCACAGACACCCCGCAGTACTCTCCGAGTGTGCTGAGCGACATTACCCAGGCACAGAGGAGTCTGGCCTGTGAGGATGACCATGCCCAGCACTCAGTGCTGGTGACGTACCTGGCACTTTCCTGCATGCCGTACCTGAACGAGCATGGTGACGCTAGGAGGCGATCACAGCCACTGTCCTCCCTGACAGAGGGGGTGACTGCGGTCCAGGGAGGCCGGGTAGGTGCTCAGATGGGCCAAAGCACAGCAGCGAGTCCAAACCAGGCCACCTGGTGGCAGGGTCAGAGCACAGCACAAGACTCACCCTCCTGGTAGCAAAGGGGACCACGAGAGCAGAGAACGAAGGGACAGTGGCCAAAACGCGCAGGCCCTTTGCCTCCCGCGGGTGCCGCGCCCCCCAGGCAGATGCGTGGGAGACAGGTAATTATTTCAGCAATCGGACAGGCTTTCTAGTTTCCTATGGTTTCAGGCTGTTGATTTTTTTAAAATGAAATTTAAAATATTCATCAAATGATTTCTTCAGGAACGGGCAGTCACTTTTTTTCTCTCACTAGGTATTTATGTGACGTATCTGATTAGAAATTTCCTTATGTCGAGTTATACTATCACAGACATCATTATTTATAATTCATCATGGAACAGCCAACTGCACCTGGGTAGAACACGATAAATAACGTCCATGCAGAAGTCTCTTAAATTCACTGTAACTAGGAATAAAAAGTCTTAGTTATAGCAGAGTGGAAACTATAACGTAGAACACACAGTGTACTCAGTTCAGGCCTTACTGAATAACATATTCTGAACTAATCTTTCAAGTTGTAGGAAGCTGCCCCTGCCCTAGACTCAGTTATCAGCTACTGCAGTTTGTCACACCGACCTACAGGTGGCGTGACCGTCGACCCTGAGGGAGCGTCACTTTCTTGGAAAGAATGAAGGGACAAGTGGTGAACTGGGCCTAGGATGGTGCCCCGGACTATGGGCACGCACTGCTGTGCAGATGCCCTGTGTGAGAAAGGCCTGGCACTCTAGCAGGGACACTGCGGGAATTCGGGCAAAGGACGGCCAGCTCAACTCTGAAAATCAATGGGGTGGCAGTGGCCACGGCAGATCACAGCCCCCCATCCTTAATTAGTTCTGAGGAAGGGAAGATAGAAGAAAAAAGGGCGTGATATATTTTTTCTTGGGAATCTGGCATCAGAGGCACTGAGGGTTATCACAGAGATGCATCACTCCAAAGCTCCTTTAAATAGCAAGTCCCCCACTCCTCGAGGGCAAGTCATTTTTAAAAAATGGACTAAGTGTGTGTGGTGGTGTGCAGAAATCTCAGGCTTCACGGAGACGGGAGGAGCACGAGGCGTGGATGTCTATGTACACATTACAGGCGGTACAGTGGCTCACAGTGAAACAAAGAGAAGAAATTAGGAGGTTAGGAAGATTAACAGCAAGTGAAGAATTACAGACCGCATTAGGCTCATTTCCCCAAAGTCTCAGTAATTATTTGTGTCTGTAGGTGATTTTGCATTTTATGACATTGTACTTTCTAGTTTCACTAAAGAGAAGCAACCCAAATTTGTGGATTGTATTTATTTATTTTTTTGCCTCAATTGCAAAAAGCCTGAGGGCTAATTCAGGCCTGATTGTAGCAACTGGCTGTCTCAGAGGCCTCCTGCATCTTTAAACAGCTCCTCTCCTATTTATTTTGTGCTGTTTTATCTTGTAAGCTGTCTCAAGGTCCTTCCAACCTAAGCAGGAGGATTTGAATCTTAATAAATTGAAATTTAAATGACAGAGGCAACCTGGGTTGTGGGAGGAAGAGTGGTCCTGAGTTCTTCCGATAAACATCTTTATTTTCAGTGCCACATTATTTCTCTTTCTATTCTTGGAATAGCCTTAAAAGGTAGGAAGACCGGCATCATACCCACTTCATAGATGGAGAAGTTGGGGCACTAGAAGGTGAAGACCTGAGCCTTGTAGCTGGTGGAGAAAAATATACTCAAAAAGTCAGGAATTCTTAGCTGGCAGAGAAAAATATACTTAAAAAAGTCAGGGCTCCTTAGGAAAATGGTCTGGTTCAAAATAACGACGAGTTACATATGATGGTAAGTGAAGACTTCTTTACTCATCTTTTAAAAAAAAAATTAACAAAGGATATCGAAAAGTGCTTCCACGGTGTGGGCAAGCGGTTGCACCAGCGCTTGAATTCAGTTCTTCTGGGGACCTTCCCATAACCGGCAGGACTTGTTAACATACATAGCAAACGGACTCAACCAAATTCTGAGTAAACTTACTGGAACTACCTTTCTATAAACTTTGTAGCAGGGGCAGTAGAGTAGCCTAGATTTTACAAAAGATAACCAGATAGCTCATCACTTCAATCAGGTCTGGGACCGGAAGTGGCAAACATAAAGCTCCTTCTTCAGTCTCTATCCCCTCTCAGGGAAGGAGTAGAAGCATTTAAGTTCTTTAACCCCTTAACGGTGCCCTCAGCAGTACTTGGGCAGTGGTTTCTTTAGGTAGTGACTGTCCCAAGCGTCGCTTGGCAGGTGTCATCTCAGCCAGTCGGTTTTTGTATCGAATAAATTTGGTAACACTGTCGTTTTTGTATTTCCTCCTATATTATACAAATTAATGAAAAAACACAATTTTGGGTCATGCTGCATTTAAATAATCGGGCTGGTAAGTAGTTAATTGTAACTTAACACTCAATATTTATTTACTCCATCCTGTCATTTCTCATCACTCAAAATTCCAAGGAGCTGAAATTTAAAACGTAGTAGTAAAAAAAAAAAAAGAAACCACAGCTACGCTGTACCATTAATAGAAACAACGACAATCAGAAAGGCTTACCTTGCAGCCTTCACATGTAATGACACCATAATGGATTCCTGATGATTTGTCTCCACAGATCTTGCATGGAATAATTTCAATTTGAGCTGCAACAGAAGCACGCAACCAGTTAATTACATTTTCTTTTAAACACCTTATAAAAGCGTTCCCTGATCAGCATTTGTATAGTGAAAACTAATAACCTGCTAAACATTATACTGCATTAACTATTCATTGCTGAACTGTGAGGGCCCCCCTAGAGCCCGGAACTAAATTCTGGCTGCTCGTTATATAATAGCTTTTGGGTTATTAAAATGGGTCATTTGAGAAGGTGTTTAAGAGCCCACAAGAAGACCGGAATCAGCATTTCAAAGCCTTCAAGAACTGGAGAGTTCGCAGTTTAGGGCTCAGAGCAGAGCAGATACTAAAACGTTTCCTCCGACTTCATTTTCCATCATTATTTTTGAAAGGTCATAAATTTGTCTTGACTGAGCCTTGTAGCTGGAAAAATATACTCAAAAGAGTCAGGTCTCCTTAGGAAAATGGTCTGATTCAAAATATCGATGAGTTACATATAATGGTAAGTTAAGACTTCTTTACTCATCTTTAAAACATTAATGCAGTTGCCATATGTTGAAAAGTGCTTCCTTTGTATACAATCAGAGTCTTTCAACCATACGCTGATGTCGGATGTGAATTTAAGAGTGATGAATCGCAGCAAGTAGGCTACGCTTCTGCTTAGTTTCTGGTGTTTGAAATTGATTTCCTGGTACAGTGTGCATGTGTCTGTTTAGCTGATTATTTAAGATACCTCGCGCTGGAAGACGAACCAAAAAATGAACACGTATGACACCAATACTCTCAACTACGGCAAAGCACATTTCTAAGCCAACACATTATATCTTGAGTTAGAGTATAATAAAGAATTTCAACAGTGCTTTACGGACCAGGATAATTCAGCAAAAGAAAATTCTTCGAGCACCTGTAATACAGGATTACATGTGAGCGGAAGGACAGCAAGCCTGAGGCGTACAGACAGGCTGGCCGGTTCCATTCTGCTTCCTTTTCTTTCCATGGTTTTCCCTACTGGATATCACACGAGGTTATTGGCTGAGTTCTGCCCGCAAACTCAACTGCAATGCCCGAGTCTATTTATTTCCCTTTTAAACAGTTTCTGCTCGGCGCCATGCCTCACAGGAAGCAGGGACACATGATGTCACCGCCCAACAAGGTAATCTCACATCCTGAGCGAATTCCTGCGGGTGTGTGCTTTGGATTTGATGTGATGCTGTCGTGGATACTCAGAGCACACAGAGGCCACTGGATGTGACGGAGGTCACCTCATTAGAAAGCAGGGGTCCTGCTGAGCCCTGCTCTGGGGACTTCTGTGTGCTTCTATGATTCGTAGGGAGGACAACTGTGCTTTTCCCTCCGTCATTTTTAGCAGGGCATACTGAGTTTCTTTGCTTGTTCAGATCTACAGATTGGGCAAAATCTCACATCCCCTGTATTCTGCACAGCCTGGAGCTGTCTAATATGCACCCCGATAATGGTACGAATAGGCATATTCTGGGTTATGTAACTTGGTATATCCAAGATTGCGTTTAGCAAAACTGGCATGTGCAGGTCTGCCTCCCCATGTTAATGCCCCACTTTGTTCTTTTTTTTTTTTTCTTTTTTTCCGGTAGCAGGAATTGAACTCACGACCTTACGCTTGCCAGGCAGGCGCTGCGCCGTTGAGCTAAATCCCCCGCCCCCTCACTTTGTTTATGGAATATGAAATCATGCGTCATGCTTAATGGCCCTTCTAATTTATTTTTTGGGTACCGGGAATTGAACTCAGGACCTTGCGATTGCCAGGCAGGCACTGTCCCTGAGCTATATATCTCCAGCCCCATTCTAGTATTTTTAACACGGTCAAGGACAGGTTCGTGCCGCGGTGTCTGCAGTGCTCGGAGGGAGAGTTAGGCCCGACATTTTCCAGACTCACAGGAGCCAGGCAGTAGTAAGGAATTCTGGAAAGTGGTTCCAGCAGAGAGACATGGCCTGGATTACCCCCGTGAGCGAGCCTGCGATGAGATCGAGCTTCCGTCACCCCGACCCACAAGGAACAGGGTAACCATGCAACGCAGAGTACGCGGGGCCACCTAGTCACAGAACTCATATGTGAAGTAAAGATCAACCCAGAGCTGCCTCTGCCAGCGTTTCAACACAAGCTGTAGACGCAGGAATTGGAGATACGCAAACCTCCTGCGGCCCTGGTTCACGCTAGCATCAGAGCTATCCAAGGCAGTGAGAGCAACTCTCGTCTCCAACGTGGGCCCTTCGTGTCAGGGCCCCGTCCCAACAGCGGGGACACCAAGCCTATCCGGCTAGTCCTTAGGAAAATCAAAGGCCCTGGGCAGGCCACGTGGGGAAGGACAAGGGAAAGTGTATCTGCATCAGCTGTGAATCGTGAGAGGATGACATTTAAGGCAGTGACCTAAATGCCTGCTGTGGCTCTGGTGTCCCCTACGTGGCAAGGTGGTCAGCTTTGGGCAGACAGACCCTTCTGTGCCAGCACTGCTGCTTTGGGGTGCTCGTGGCCTGGTGAGACGCAGCACCGACCCACAGTTTGGTGCCACGGCTACAAGACCGCTGCCTCCCAGCAGGCTCCTCCCCGTCCTTGGCATCTGACCTTGCTTAAGTGGCCAAGGTCTTTGAGATCTCAAGGGTACCCAAGCTCGGAGTTCGCAAGGCGGATGGAGCCACGAAGCCGAGGCGGAGTGCACTGGCTGCACTGTGTCCGTGCATAGCTCTGGTGGGTGATGCTGACGGCAGCAGCAGGATCAGCTTCGCTAGGACTGCCGCGGTAAGGGGACGGGAAGGTTTCGCCAGAGGCAGGTGGGCTGTGCTGCCGGGCCGGGTGAAGCTGCCCTCCTGGCTCACCCTTCTGAGGCTCGCTTGTTCCTCTGTAACTGCTCCTTAGCAAACGACGGAAACCCACCTGCTCTGAAAGCGAACCCTCGGGATGCAAGCTCCTCACTCGCACGTGCTGCTGTTCCTAGAAAGCAAGTGTCTGCAGGTGGGAGCGGGACACGTCCGCACCTCTCCACTGAACCCCACAGTGCACGAAAGCCTTCCCCACCCGCCTTTTACTCAATTTACAGAATCAAAGAGGGGAAAAAAAAGTAAGCTGTGCCTTGCATATGTATTTCAAAAGGAAGGCCATTCAATCCCCTAAGTTTGAGTTTTCTTTTTCAAGGAAAAGAAGTCTTTTTCTCTTTTTTTGTTTGTTTGTTTGAGACAGGCCCTCCCTGTACAGGTCAGGTGGCCTTCAGCTCACTATGTAACCCAGGCTGGCCTCGAACTCTCAGCCATCCTCCTGCCTCAGCCTCCCATGTGCCACCATGCCTGGCTGTCTTCTTCAAATAATATTTTCAGCATATGTTATGAGTCCCTCCCATATAAATGCTACACATATGAACTCAGCCAGCATTTCAGAGGATCAGCTCTACAGACCCACCACTGCCAACCTGCACAAGTATATTGATTAAATTAGCACACACAAAATCAGGGAACCCAGCAAAGAGGGTTATTGTGCAGTGGAAAATCTGAAGCAAGAAGTGTCCATATCACCACGAACTGGCTTCACCACGAACACTTGCTACGGAAAAGTCCAGCTCACCCACATTTCAGCTGTGTTACCTAAATGACTTGCCCTCTCAGGCACCCTACGTAGTTCAAGCAGGCTCTGCACTCCTGCAGAGGGAATGTTCTGGAGCTGGTGACCGGGGGCAGCAGGGGATCCTGGGGTACATGTGTGCTCATTAACAGGGTGGTCTTGGGCGGGGTGGTCCCGGAGCACTGCACGTGTGCTAATATAAAAAGGTTTGCTGTTTATTTTTAATTGTAACCAAGCAAGAACCTGGGCATTACTATTCTTAAACACCCCACGTGTCCCTCAGGGACATCTTGGGAGGTAGGTGGGTCCGCACAGCAGTGGCCATTCCCATTGCCCCAAATCATTAGAAAAGAAGCTGTTTAGAGAGGTAGACATCACTTTGTTCTGTGGGTCGGGAGTGCTTCCTTGGTAATATAATGAATGGATTGATAATCACTCATGGTATGTAGTGCATGTTTATGCTCATCTCTCAGGGATTAGCTCCAGAACCCGGGCAGTAGATGTTACTGTTCTTGTTTCCTCTTCCTCATTACTTTATTGTTGCGTTTGTTTTATATACGTAAAAATTGAAGACCAGAGAAGCTTAATAAACTGTCAAATTTGAATAGCTAAGAAGCGGTAAAGCTGAGATTTGGGTGCACTGTGTCTTTTTGTTTAAAAGTTAAGGTTTTTTTTTGTTGGAGACAGGGTCTCGGTATGTGGTTCAGGCTGGCCTTGAACTCACTATGTAGCCCAGGCTGGCCTCAAACTCACGGCAATCCTCCTGCCTCAGCCTCCCGAGTGCTGGGGTCACAGGTGTGTGCCACCATGCCCAGCATGTTGCTTGCTTTTAAATCTCTCACCGTACTGCACTGCCAGGCTGAGCTGTTCCCATAACAAACATGACACTGCTCTTGGTGTGCGATCGTCACTGAGGAGCAGCAGACCCCGCCTAAGTCGTCTGTTTAAACTTACTGCTTGGGAACTGACAGCAGGCCCTTTTCCTGAGTTTTATCTGCCTTTAAAACTGAAAATAATCAAAAATACTCTGGCCCTTTTCTTTCATTTTGCAAACTTCTGGGTAGAATATTTGACCTTACAGTGACTGATGCCCACAAGGTTTAACCACCCTTACGACTCAGAGAATCATTCCCCCCGCCGCCCCCCAAGCCCTAGTTTCATCTCGATTCCGTGATACATGTCTGCAGCGACCCAGCCTCCGGAGGGTACGGACGTTTGCGCACTCGCTATGTATGCACAGCATACCGCGGGCGATAATAAACAGCGGTTATTATTATTGTTGTTGATGATAAGGGATCCTGCTTTATGGCTGAATGAAATTCTTTTCTCCAGACTTAAAGCTCTTTCCGAAATGGGGATAGAGAAAAGCTGCTTATCCGCCAAACATTGTGACAGGCAAGTCCCTTCCCGCCAGCCAGCACACCATCCTTCAGAGTGCTGGCA